TGGGTGAGTGGATGGGTGCGTGGATGGATGGGTGCGTGGATGGGAGGGTGCGTGGATGGGAGGGTGCGTGGATGGGAGGGTGCGTGGATGGGTGGGTGCGTGAGTGGGTGGGTGCGTGAGTAGATGAATGGGTGGGTGAGTGAATGGGTGTGTGGGTAGGTGAGTGAGTGGAAGGGTGAGTGGGTGGGTGGATGGGTGGGTGGGTGAGTGGGTGGGTGGGTGGGTGAGTGGGTGGGTGGGTGGGTGAGTGGGTGGGTGGGTGAGTGAGTGGGTGGGTGAGTGAGTGGGTGGGTGGGTGGGTGAGTGGGTGGGTGAGTGAGTGGAGGGTGAGTGAGTGGAGGGTGAGTGAGTGGAAGGTGAGTGAGTGAGTGAGTGGGTGAGTGAGTGAGTGGGTGAGTGAGTGAGTGGGTGAGTGAGTGGGTGAGTGGGTGAGTGAGTGGGTGAGTGAGTGGAAGGGTGAGTGAGTGGAAGGGCGAGTGAGTTGAAGGGTTGAGTGCGTGAGTGAGTGGAAGGGTGAGTGAGTGGAAGGGTGAGTGGGTGGGTAGGTGAGTGAGTGGGTGGGTGAGTGGGTGGGTGAGTGAGTGAGTGGGTGAGTGAGTGGGTGAGTGAGTGGAAGGGTAAGTGAGTGGAAGGGTGAGTGAGTGGAAGGGTGAGTGAGTGGAAGGGTGAGTGAGTGAGTGGGTGAGTGAGTGGGTGAGTGGGTGAGTGAGTGAGTGGGTGAGTGAGTGGGTGAGTGGGTGAGTGAGTGGGTGAGTGGCCAGAACCACGCCCCAGGTGGCCTTTCATCTCTCCCAAGTGCTGGATTTACACCCCCCCCCCCCCACCAACCCCCCCCCCCCCGGTACTAATCTAGGGCTGAGCGGACCTAGATGACCACGCAGCACCGGGCCGGATATCGCAACTCGCAACTTCGTTATCCGTGGCCAGCAATATGAATGCCGGGGTCGCCGGGTGCACAAAAACCACGGTGCCAAATCTGCCCGCAACAAATATTACCACAAAGTGTACACACAAACACGACCAAGGAGACACAGGCCGGCCCCAGTTCAGATTTAAATCACCGGGTTGCCGGGTTCATGGCGCAGCTGATAACCACCATCGCTTCCCCATAACCCTACACGCACACAAAGACAAAGGATCGCCTACCCCTATAAAGGCTGTAATAGACTGTAGGGGCAAGTGCTGTTAGCGAGCACCTATGAAAGGCGGCACGGCACACGAGGGGGTGGGTGGCCTGCACCACGCCCGGCCGCCTTTGTCTCCCCAGTGGCGATGTTTACTACAAAACGCACCAGGTACTCCCCCATTAAAAAACACACTCAAGTGGCACAAGCTTATACACACACAGTGACACATGCTTATACACACACGGTGACACACTCGCTCAAACACACAGTGACACACACACCGACACTGACACACCGACACTGACACACACACACTCACTCACACACCGACATTCACACACTGACACACTAACACGCTCACACACTGACACTCACACTGACACACCGACACTGACACACCGACACTGACACACCGACACTGACACACCGACACTCACTCACACACTGACACTTACTCACACACCGACACTCACTCACTCACACACTGACACACTCACACACTGACACACTCACACACTGACACACTCACACACTCACACACTGACACTCACACACTGACACTCACACACTGACACTCACACACTGACACTCACACACCGACATCGACACATACTAATCACCGCCGCTGCTTGCTCCATATAAACGCAACACAAATCGCAATGCAACGGTAGCGACATCACCCAACACAATAATAGTGATCAGTCACCACACACAAACAAATACACACCACACAGACACACACACAGACATACACACACAGACAAACACACACACCACACACACAAACACACACACCATACACCACACACACAGACAAACACACACATAGACATACACACACACAAACACACCACACACACACCACACACAGCCAAACACACCACACGAACACACTGACAAACACACACACCACACAAACACACAGACAAACACACAGATAAACACACCACACAAACACACTGACAAACACACACACACACAGACAAACACACACACAGACAAACACGCACACCTCATACACACACACAAACAAACACACAAACACATACCACCCCACACACATACAAACAACCACACACAACCACACACAGACAAACACACCCCACTAACACACACCACCCCACAAACACACCACCCCACACACACACACACTAACACACACCACCCCACACACACACAACCACACACAGACAAACACACCCCACTAACACACACCACCCCACACACACACCACCCCACACACACACACACTAACACACACCACCCCACACACACACAACCACACACAGACAAACACACCCCACTAACACACACCACCCCACACACACACCACCCCACACACACACACACTAACACACACCACCCCACACACACACAACCACACACAGACAAACACACCCCACTAACACACACCACCCCACACACACACCACCCCACACACAACAACAACAACAACCGCCATTCGCCACTAAGTGGCGGTGACGTCACCACGATGCTTGTGCCAGGCCAAGTGCACCTTGAGGCCACGTGAAGTGTCGAAAGCCCGCTGGCAGGAGGTCACGGGGCAGACCCAGGTGCCACTGGTCGACTGACCGAGATGACCGAGATGACTGGCTGATGCACCACCTGTGCCCCCTACTGTGCCAACTTGCTGTGCTTTAGCCACCCGGCGCTCCGCTCGTTGTTGTGAGCGTCGCTCCTCCGCCCTCCGTTGTTGTTGGAGGGCGACTGCCTCCAACTGCCCAGTAGCGTCCTTCACGAGCCTCCTCCACTGAGGCCGATCTTGACACCGCTGGTACCAGTCATCGGCAAGTCCACTCAGCTCCACGTCCTCCTGTACCACATCACTCCATCTCTTCTCCAGCCCGTGCCGCGCCCGTCTAGCCCCCTCGATCCGGCCGAACAAAAGCTGTTTAGGCATGCGGTGGCTGGGCATGCGGGCTACATGACCCAGCCAACGCAGCCTTGCCTGCCGGAGGAGCTCACTGATGGGACCTTGCCCAGATCTTTCAAGGATTTGTGAGCTCCTCACACAATCCAGCCTGGTTAAACCCAGGATGGATCGTAGGCAGGCCAGCCTAAATGTTTCCAACCGGCGAAGATGCCCCACCAGGGGGGTCCACGTCTCGCAAGCGTAGAGAAGGGAGGGAATGACCGTGGCCGAGAAGACCTGAAGCTTCGTGCGGAGCGACAGACCAGGTAGCTTCCACACAGCGTTACGCAACCGATGAAAAGATATTGCCGCTCGACTGATTCGGAGTGAGACCTCTGCTGATAGACTGGAGCCGGTCATAAGCATACTGCCCAGGTATGGGAAACTCTCCACTCTCTCCACAACTGCCCCATCACCAATTGGGAGTTGTGGGGGTGGAGTGTCCGATGGTACAAAATACCCAGGCAGGTGCTTGGTTTTGGTGGGGCTGATGGTAAGGCCCCACCTCTTAGTGGCACGCTCCAGTCTCAGCAACAGCGCCTCCAACTCCTCTTCTGAATGAGCAGCTATTACCAAATCATCGGCATACATAACGTGGTTGACCAATAGGGAGCCATCCCTTGATCGCACCCGGGCGTCGATCAGCCTCCCATTATATCTGTACCAAACGGAAATTCCCCCGGTACAGCTATTGAAGGCTTCACGAACTACGCGGTCAAAATAGATGTTAAATAATGTGGGAGCCAGAGGACATCCCTGTCGCACCCCAAGGTGTACAGGGAAAGGCTCCGACTCCCGGCCACGTAGTTTTACCCGGGCCCGCTCACCATCATGAAGGTCCTTAATGATCGTGAGCAGAGGGTCAGGGACTCCGAAAGCACGAAGAACAACCCAGAGTCCAGTCCTACTGATGGTATCATAGGCCTTGACCAGGTCAATAAAGCAGAGATGTAGGTCTTTTTGGAATTCCCTACACCTCTGCTGTAGCAGACGGACAGAAAATATGGCATCTGTGCAGGACCGCCCTTTCCTGAAACCGCATTGGGGCTCCGCAAGCCCCTCCTCAGCGTGCCTAGCAAGGCGATGTTGAATAATCCTTGCCAGGACCTTACCCGGCACACTGAGGAGTGAGATGCCCCTGTAGTTGTTACAGTCTGTGCGGTCCCCCTTCTTAAAGAGGGGGACCACCAGGGCATCCTTCCAGTCCTGCGGAACCCGTCCAGTGGTCCAGACTGTTGTTATGATGTCATATAGGGCAGTCTGTGCACAAACGCCACCCTCCCTCAGCATTTCGCTTGGGAGATCATCTCTGCCCGGTGCCTTCCCTGGTCTCAGACTCCGGATCGCCCTCAGTACTTCCTCAACAGCTGGAACCTCAGCCAGCCACTCACAGGGGGTGACCTCTTCCAATATTTGAGGCACCGCAGCCTCAGCAGGGTTATCCCCACTTTGTGCCATGATGTTTTCCTGGCTGAGAGAATTTCCCTCCCCCAGGACCTCACAGAAATGCTCAGAAAATCTGCAAACCTGTTCCTGGGGGTCGGAGATTGGATCACCGTTTTTTCCTCTAATGATGGTAATAGGTGTGGCGCTGCAGGTTACTTTTTTGATGGAGTTAAATAGTGATTTGTGATCACGGGCCACACACACTAACACACACCACCCCACACACACACAACCACACACAGACAAACACACCCCACTAACACACACCACCCCACACACACACCACCCCACACACACACAAACACACACCACACGGTTTAGCAGCAGCGCCGCCGCCGCCGCGATGACCTCTCTGCAACCCTCACAGGGCACGGCTGTGCGCCACTGCCAAACTCCCCCCCACCACCACCACAGCTCCCCTCAGCACACAGAGAGAGACATTTAAAGAGTAGCGAGTTTAAACTCTTGTTTGTTGATGTTGTTGTTGTCGTTACCTTAGCGCCACTTTGAAACGCTCCTCTGCCGGCAACGCAAGTCGCGACCTGCCTCAGCACGGCGGCCGCCATCTTCAAGGGCTGGAGGCTTGTGGGAGTAGCGCGTTTTTGTGGTGATTCTCAAGGCGATCTTCTCGATTTGGTAGAGTGATTCTTATTCCGGAAGAGGTAGAGATATTTTAATTCCGGAAGAGGTAGAGAGATTTTAATTCCGGAAGAGGTAGAGAGATTCTGATTCCAGAAGAGGTAGAGAGATTCTGGTAGGAGGACCGCGTTTTTGTGATGATTCTCGCAGCGATCTTCTCGATTTGGTAGAGAGGTTCTTATTCCGGAAGAGGTAGAGAAATTCTGATTCCAGAAGAGGTAGAGAGATTCTTCTTTCGGAAGAGGTAGAGAGAGATTCTGGTGGGAGGACCGCGTTTTTGTGATGATTCTCACGGCGATCTTCTCGATTTGGTAGAGAAATTCATATTCCAGAAGAGGTAGAGTGAAGGGAAATAATACAAATAAAAAATATAAAACAATATTTTTTTTTATTCTTGCTGTGGATTTCACACCTGGTGATGATTGCTTGTGTTGCAGTCGAAACGTCGTGAGGATTTTTATTGTTTTATATTTTAATTATTTTATTATTTCCCTTCTACGTGACTTTACCGAAAGAACCAAGAATATGAATCCCTGCAGTCACGAAAGCTTTAAATCAAGATTTCGTTTCTGTTAATTCGCAGGACGATCTTCTCGATTTAGTAGAGCAGAGATTCTCATACCAGAAGAGGTGGTAACACTGCTTTCCTACACCATCCGAAAGCAGAGATTCTGGAAGAGGTAGATGACTAGATTTGAAGCTTTCGTGACTGCAAGGATTCATACTCTTAGGTTTTTTCGGTAAAATCACGTTCGTCTGTTATTCAGACTGTCTTCTCGACAGACCTGCTCTCCACCTGAGGACGGCTGCTTGCGTTGTGGCCGAAACGTCGTGAGAATTGTATTTTATAATGTTTTATTTTTATTATTTTATTATTTCCCTTCTACGTGACTTTACCGAAAGAACCAAGAAGATGAATCCCTGCAGTCACGAAAGCTTTAAATCGAAAGATATTTGGGAACTTTATTTATTTATTCCGGAAGATTCCACCGCCGAATTATGCTTTTTTTACATCTTCCGGAAGTTGATCGCCCCCTCCCCTCTTCCCTCTTTCCCCTCCCCCCTTCCCTCCTCCCTCCCCTCTCCACTCCCCCCTCCCCTCCCCCCTCTCCCTTCCCCCCTCCCCTCCCCCTTCACTTCCCCCTCCCCCCTTCCCTCCCCCCTCCCCCCTCTCCCTTCCCCCTCCCCCCTCCCCCATCCCTCCCCCCTCCCCTCCCCCCTCTCCCTTCCCCCTTCCCTCCCCCCTCCCCCCCATCCCTCCCCCCTCCCCTCCCCCTTCACTTCCCCCTCCCCCCCCTCTACCCCCTCTCCCCCCCCACCCCTCTACCCCCTCTCCCCCCTCCCCTCCCCCTCCCCTCCCCCCTCCCCTTCCCTCCCCCCTCCTCTCCCCCCTCCCATCTCCCCTCTCCCCTCCCCTCCCCCCCTCCCCCTCTCCCCTCCCCTCCCCCCAGCTAAACCGATAGGAGACGCGACGAGCGTCTACCGGTTTCGGCAGAGAGAGAGAGAGGGAGAGAGGGGGGAGGAGGGATTTTACTTCCCGGTCTGAGCGCGTGGCCACGTGGCCTGATGGTGACCCGAGGCAGACGTGTCTCGTGAGCACGAGAGGCCCCCCAAGTGCCTCGCGAGGGCCGTGGGGGCTTGAACTGGACGCGAAACGTTGGACGCGATCGATTAAAAGATCGACGGAGGGTGGGTGGTAGGGGGGGGGGGTGTGTGGGTAATAGGGGGGGGGGTTGTGGTGGTTGGTAGGGGGGGTGGTGGTGGGTGGTAGGGGGGGTGTAGGGGGTGGTAGGTGGGTGGTAGGGGGTGGTGGTGGTGGGTAGGGGGGGGGTGGTAGGGGGTGGGTAGGGGGTGGTGGTGGGTGGTAGGGGTGGTGGGTGGTAGGGGGGGGGTGGTTGGGGGTAGTGGTGGAGGGTGGTTGGTAGGGGGGTAGGGGGTGGTGGTGGGTAGGGGGTGGTAGGGGGTGGTGGTGGGTGGTAGTGGTGGTGGGTGGTAGGGGGTGGGTAGGGGGTGGTGGGGGGGTGGTGGTGGGTGGTTGGGGTAGTGGTAGTGGGTGCTGGTGGGTGGTTGGTAGGGGGGTAGGGGGTGGTGGTGGGTGTATATTTGGAGTTTGCGTGTCTCTCATCATCACGGTGGTTAGAAGACGTTAACGACCTCGCCTGGTGTACAGGAGGTCGTGGGTTTGATCCTGACCCTGACGCCTGCTGCTGCTGTATATTTGACATTTGTGACGATGTGTGACGAGGGGGGGGGGTTGAGAAATGTGACGTCACATCAAAATGCGCAACTTTAAATAAATATTGAATTGTTATAACAACACTAATTGTTATAACAACACTCATACAACATCAATTAATTAAATAAATGTTTTCTCCTACAACATCAGAGTGCAGCGCTACATTAAATACGCACTACAATGACAATAGTTTAAAGCGATTTGAAGCATGTTTTATTTTCCTTCCATGCTCTTAAGAGTATTTGGCTGTGATAAGTCACTTTGCTGAGCTATCATTTAGGGAAAGGTCGTTTCTGAAAAAGGAGCTGTAATTTATCTTCTTGGTTCTTTCGGTAAAGTCACGTAGAAGGGAAATAAAATAATAAAAATAAAACATAATAAAATAATTCTCACGACGTTTCGGCCACAACGCAAGCAGCCGTCCTCAGGTGAAGAACAGGTCTGTCGGAAAGACAGCGTCTGAATGAAACACCACCAGGCTTGGAGCATATATTTAATCTGGGTTGGAGGGTGAAGAGCGCCTTGACAAAATAATTTGCATATCAAGAGGAAATTAGCATTTTTATGGTAAACGCAGATATGGGATTAGTCATTACTTGTGGAATGCATTACGCAGGATTAGCAGCATCAAAGGGAGGGAGTAAGGTTAGCATTACTAATCGAAATTTGAGCTGTAATTTGTTTTAATGTCTTTAAATTGTATTATGTCTTTCTTCCAGGCTGCACTGCGGTGTTGCTGTCAATTCTCCCAAGTGTCCCCAGCCCTCTGCCAACACAAGTCCGCACCGGTCAATGCTTAATTTTTGTTAAGCGTCTGAATAAGTTAACCTTGCTGTTTAGCTTTAAAAACAAAATCATGCTCTCACACCAGAGGTCGCAACCGGGTACCCGATACCCGTACCCTACCCGATACCCGGCTACCCGTACCCGGCCGGGTACGGGTACCAGTTTGCGACACTGGTGCGGCCGGGTACGGGTAGACCGTGAGTCACTGGTGAGTCACCGTTTGTCACTCATTTCCCAACGTCTTGTCTCTTCTCACAATTCAAGTTCCTAGAATCAACCCACCCGCGCCTGCAACATGGCTTCATCCCAGAGGTCGCAATCAGGTACCCGATACCCGTACCCTACCCGTACCCGACCGGGTACGGGTAGGGTACGGGTACGGCCGGGTACGGGTACCCGTTTGCGACCCTGGTGCGGCCGGGTACGGGTAAGGAATCAAAACCCGTTTGCGACCTCTGCATCACGGTCAATTCAGGTTCCTAGAATCAACCCACCCGTGCCTGCAACATGGCTTCATCCCAGACGTCGCAATCAGGTACCCGATACCCGTACCCGGCCGGGTACGGGTACGGCCGGGTACGGGTACCCGTTTGCGACCCTGGTGCGGCCGGGTACGGGTAAGGAATCAAAACCCGTTTGCGACCTCTGTCCACACCACTGTCAAACGCAATTCCTTTACCGTGTTGTGATTTTGCTGCGTCTGAATGGACACGCGCATTACATTGGTTCACTGATTCTTTTGCAGGGCCTTTCATTTGACCTTGCAGCAATGGACAGCTGCTGTTGGGTTTTGTGGCCGCCAGCGTGAATTGCACAGCGCAGCAACTTGTAATCATAGCGTGGGTGAGCACCCACTGAGCATGCACCGAACACATGTTTAGGGTTCTTGGGATTCGGTAGGAATGCCTGGGGCCACATCTGAGCCAAATTGAGCCACCAGGTCACGAGGTTAAACAACACTCATCCCAACCTGCTGAATACACACGGTGTGAAAATCAAACATCTTTCTGATTACCTAGTTATAATTGAGTAAAAGTGGTATTTTACATTTTAATGTTTTTAGAATGTTGTGAATAGGAATCGGTGTTTCCCCCAATTGTACCCCTCTCGCGTGCCGTGCCGGCCTTCGTAGGTGCTCGCTAACAGCACTTGCTCCAACAGTCTGTTAAGGCTACACGGGGGATCTTTCTCTTTGTGTGTTTCTCTTTCCAGGACGTGTGAACGCCGAGTTGTGCAGAGTAGAGACGCCGGGGGAAACGGACCGCGCTTGTGACCGCGATGTCGGCGATTCTCACCCCAACTTCTCAGCGCTGTCTTCGCGCTTTCTCCCGCCTCGTGAGCAATCCCGCAGCGTGCAAGATTCTGTGAGTTCAAGAATCCTCAGTGGGCTGCGTTCGGCCATCTGATGTATTTTCAGTTTGAAATGTGGTGCATTGCCTTTTGAGCAAATTAGAATCGTGATTTATACATGAGGATGTCCAGTCGGGGTGGGTAAGAACGTTGCAACAACCAACAGTTACAAAAACACGATAGCAGTGCAAAGCACAAGAAAGGTAAACAAATCTCCCAAACACAAACAAATACAAACTAAACCATCCCCATCCTACCAGGCCAAAACTCACCGAGGCATGAACTTATTTGTCAGAAGCGACCTGGTCACGAATGATGGCTCAACGAAGTGACTTATCACGTGGGAATGTATTGCAGCAAAATCATCTCAATGCATGTTTCAAAATGTGGAGGTGGGGGATGGTGCCTGGATAGTGCTTGGAATGGGTGACCCCACCACAGAGGTCGCAAATGGGTTATGATTCCGTACCCATACCCGGCCGCACCAGGGTCGCAAACGGGTACGGGTATCGGGTACCTGATTGCAACCTCTGGGATGAAGCCATGTTGCAGGCGCGGGTGGGTTGATTCTAGGAACTTGAATTGTGAGAAGCGACAAGACGTTGGGAAATGAGTGACAAACGGTTACTCACCAGTGACTCACTGCCTACCCGTACCCGGCCGCACCAGGGTCGCAAACGGGTACCCGTACCCGGCCGGGTACGGGTAGCCGGGTATCGGGTAGGGTACGGGTATCCGGTACCCGGTTGCGACCTCTGCCCCACCGTGCATGACACGGATTGTGAGCGAATGCTGTGGGGCCACCTGGTGGGCAGAAGTCGTACACAGCAGCCGAAATGAATTGCACTGAAAACGCCACGTGGCTCGCTGGCTTCAACCCACACTGACCAGCATGGTGAAGTACGGTTACATATTACGCCGGTCTTTGGCGCATGGTGGTCGTCTGTCCTAAGCACTCGTCTGGGTGATGGATCGCGTGCATCATTGGTGATTGGTTCAGCGTCTATGTGTAGACACTGCGATTGCAGGCAGTACAGCAGAATACATTGTTGTACTGTGATTGTACGCGCCCACCGACGCACACTGACCAGCCTGGTGAAGTATGGTTAAATACCTCCCCCCCTCCCCCACCACGACCACACGGTGTGTGGGGTGACGCTCATCCAACAGTGGATTGACAAAAAACACAGCTGTACATTCTAGATTTGAAGCTTTCGTGACTGCAAGGATTCATACTCTTAGTTCTTTCGGTAAAGTCACGTAGGTAAAAAAATGAAATTAATAAAAATAAAACAATAAAATCACGACGTTTCGGAGGCAACACAAGTCCCACCTGATGATGGAAACTTGTGTTGCCTCCGAAACGTCGTGATTTTATTGTTTTATTTTTTTAATTAATTTCAATTTCATTTTTTTACCTACGTGACTTTACCGAAAGAACTAAGAGTGAACAGCTGTACATGTACAATGGGAAGTATACAGTGGTCAAAAATATGGGCAGACTGGTCCCCACCATGGCAATGTGGAATTTCCACCACTGGCTTTGCGCTGCCAGCATCCGTGACCAACTGCCGCATTGCCCGTTGGGAGGATGGAGAGACACCGTTAGTTTTTGATGGAAGCTTGTACGGCACAGGAGGCCACGGCACTAATTTTAGGTCCAACTCAACAAACGGGAGCGCCACATTTAGATACCACTTGGTACCGCCGTTATGCGTAGTTGCCAGGAGTATAACCCTGGCCACTGTCTCGACACTTCCACACGAATATCACGTGCCCTCTTCACCCAGTTCGTTGCTGTGACTTGCCGATTCACGCCCCACTGGACGCCTGTGAATTAAAGGGCTTTCATAGCTCATCGGATTCCTCCAGCCAGTCTGAATAACGATTTCGATTCGGGGTTCCCGCGGTCCATTCACCCAACAACTTTTGTTATTGTTTGGCGTAGAGTCACAGCGTACCGTCGATGTGTGTGCTTGCGCGTCTAGGAAGCCGGGGCCGAGCCGACCCTTGAAAAGCGCCGTCTCTGCCGACCACCGGCACCACCACCACCACCACGAGCGCCGACCCGGTGTGGGCGTGATGGTCGTGGTGCACAGCGCCCTGCGCCCCGGCTGTGTGCTGCTGGGACGCCGCAAGACCGGCCCTGGCGCCGGCCTCTACCAGCTGCCTGGCGGATACCTGGAGTTTGGGTAACGGAGCGGCGTACGGACCACGCGAGTGGGGTCCGAATGCATAAACTCGTTACATACGTGAACTCTCGGTTTAAAGCTTTCGTGACTGCAGGGATTCATCTTCTTGGTTCTTTCGGTAAAGTCACGTAGAATGGAAATAATAAAATAATAAAAATAAAACATAATAAAATAATTCTCACGACGTTTCGGCCACAACGCAAGCAGCCGTCCTCAGGTGGAGAACAGGTCTGTCGAGAAGACAGTCTGAATGACATACCCCAGGCTTGGAGCATCTTAGAGTCGCGGCATCTCTTCAGAAAGGTGAGAGACTCGATTAGCTGAGCCTTCTTATTTCGTGACTGCAGGGATTCATATCATATCCCTGCAGTCACGAAAGCTTTAAATCGAAATTTAACCGCCACTATGGGGTGGGATTCCACAAAACTTTAAGATCTTTCAACAAACTCCGGGATAAGAAGGCTCAGCTAATCGAGTCTCTCACCTTTCTGAAGAGATGCCGCGACTCTAAGACGCTCCAAGCCTGGGGTGTGTCATTCAGACTCTGTCTTTTCGACAGACATGTTCTCCACCCGAGGACGGCTGCTTGCGTTGTGGCCGAAACGTCGTGAGAATTATTATTTAATGTTTTATTTTTATTATTTTATTATTTCCATTCTACGTGACTTTACCGAAAGAACCAAGAAGATACGTGAACTCGTCTTGTTTAGAACTGCTGTTTGTGTTTAGTTTGTTGTCCTTCCCCCACACCTCGGATGAGCACGGTTGGCTACGCACGGCGCAAAATAAGTTCAGCATACGTATGTAATAACACGCTGGAGACGGCTTGTAGAATCGGTCCTTTTATTTCACTTCCTTTGCAGTTCACAAACACTCCCCGTTGCTGGCAGGCAATGGGAAGCGGGCAGACAGCCACCAGAGACCCACCACCACGTGGCACCCGGAACCCCACTCGCGCGTGGCCTCTCCCTCTCTTAATTCCGTGTCTGACCACGTGTCTCTCCTCTCTCCCCTTATTTAACGCCTGGGTCACGTGGTACACTCCAGCCAATCCTCAATAGCCTGCGCCGAATGTTCCAGATCCCCCATCAACTCCCGGTACCACGCCCCCGACTTGTCTTCCCATTGGCTGAGGCCAAGACCACCGAAACCAATCAGCGAGCTGACATCCCGTGATCACGCCGAGGCCATGCTCCCAGGCTCTCCCCCCATTGGCTGTAAAGCGGGACCGGCAAAGCCGATCACCACGTGAATCTGACATAGGCTCTTATTACACGTACATAGTGGCCATACAGCCCAATCTCCTAACCCCGTATTGTAAAGCAGTATAGTCTGCGTTCCTTCATCGTAGGAGGAACAGCAAAACGACATGAACTCTCTATCCTGAAGCCCTCCCGTTGTGGCTTGGAGACATCGACTTTGGCATTTAGCTCCCGAACATATTGCTATCATATGCAACAATAGAGTTTGAATGGCTTGTGGGTGTCCGTGTTATCAGTGTTTTACGGAAGCATGTGGGATGCTTATTATAGTTGTACCGGGGAGTTGTCCGTCCGTCCGTCTCCGGAGACTTCTCATGTTCATTTCCACGAAAAGTAAAAATACTGAATCATAATGAAACTGATTGTAAGTAAACTATTAAACTATAAACTATTTGTATTTACCAGGTAAGGCCCACTGAGCTATATAGCTCTTTTTCAAAAGCAGCCTGGCCACAAATGATATCATGTGGAAATGTATAGCCTTCAAATACTCTAAACACGTGTTTCTAAACGTGGAGGGAAAAACCAGAGAGCCCGGAGAAAAATCCACGCGACCGCAGGGAGAACACGCAAACTCAAAATACGCAGGTGTCAGTGTCGGGATCGATCCCACAACCTCCTGTACACCAGGTGAGGTATTTAACATCTCCTAGCCACCGCGATGATGATAAGAGACACGCACATTTAAATATACAGCAGGTGTCAGGGTCCGGATCGATCCCACAACCTCCTGTACACCAGGCGAGGTAGTTAACATCTCCTAGCCACCGCGATGATAAGAGACATGCACATTTAAATATACAGCAGGTGTCAGGGTCCGGATCGATCCCACAACCTCCTGTACACCAGGCGAGGTAGTTAACATCTCCTAGCCACCGCGATGATGATAAGAGACATGCACACTTAAAATATACAGCAGGTGTCAGGGTCCGGATCGATCCCACGACCTCCTGTACACCAGGTGAGGTATTTAACATCTCCTAGCCACCGCGATGATGATAAGAGACACGCACACTTAAAATATACAGCAGGTGTCAGGGCCCGGATCGATCCCACGACCTCCTGGACACCATGCGAGGTAGTTAACATCTCCTAGCCACTGCGGCGCCCTGCATTCTTTTCTTCTTCCCCACCCCGTGTCCCCTCGGCCAGCGAGGAGTGGGAGGAGTGCGCGAGGCGGGAGGCGCTGGAGGAGACGGGACTGCGCGTGTGCGACGTGCGCTTCTCCACCGTCGTCAACTCCGTGCGCCGCGACGAGGGCAGCCACTTCGTCACTATCTTCATGCGGGCCGCCGTGGACCTCGCGTTCCGGCAGGAGCCACAGAACGTGGAGCCACACAAGAACGAGGGTGAGGCGCGGGGGCAGTGGCCGGTGTGGCTCGGCAGTTTAGCGCCCCGTGCCGGCAGCGCTGAGATTCTGGGTTCGATTCTAGGTTTAATTCTGGGTTTCAGCCACCCGTGAATAAGCCGAGTTCTCAATGGTAGTTAGTTTATGGTCTCAGCCCGGTCACCGTACATCAGAGGTCGCAATCGGCTACCCGATACCCGTACCCTACCCGATACCCGGCTACCCGTACCCGGCCGGGTATCGGGTACGGGTACCCTACCTGATACCCGGCCGGGTACGGGTACGGGTACCCGTTTGCGACCCTGGTGTGGCCGGGTACGGGTAAGGAATCAAAACCCGTTTGCGACCTCTGCCGTACATACATACGTTGCAGAATTCAGACTCAAGGACTCTAGGATATTTCCCGCACATCGGCCGGTAACTGGTTTCAGGTATTGTATGTTGAACTTCTCTTCCACCGTACGTAAGCGAGCACGCTAATCAGAGGTACAGCAGATCACCGTGGACTGCGGATCGTAGACGGAGCTGGCTACGATGACCGTGATGGCGTAGATGATGATGATGACGACGATGCTGGTGGTGCCGCCTCTTGGGTCATGCAGCTTGGGTGTGGACGCCGTGGGAGGAGCTGCCTCCGCCAAGTCAACTTTTCTGGGCCCTGTCCGTTGCCAAGCGGCAGGGGTACCACCCGTTCCGGGACCCAGAGGCACCGGCTGGAACGTGACCGCGAGCCTGGGCCACGCTGAGAATGGCGGTGGTTATGAGTGGGGCCGCATGCATAAGAAGAAAACGGACTTCCCACCAAGCTGAGGCCAAAATGCCAGGATACCAGCGAGATGAACACCGCCCATATAAAATGCACTGTGATAACGACACGCAGTATACAATGTATTTTAAATGCACTAGGAATGCATTCGCGAAGCGCACGTGTGTTAAATACACTCGCGAGTATGTTACACGATTTATGTATATTGAAATCGTGAGAATACATTATAGAGTGTGCGAGTGTACGTTAAGTGTAATCGAATAGCATGTATACATTTTTTTGGTGGGGGAGGGGGGCGGGCTAATTATCTCTTGTAGATATTCTGCATTCCCATTCACGGAGCGCCGTTCATGGCAACCCAATGCTGAATCAGGGTCTCGGGTTATTTGGACATACTTCGCCATGCCGATCAGTACGGAAGCTATGAAGGGAGACAGCATAGACCGGGGCGCATAGCGTATAGGACGATAAATTGATTTTTCTGCACTGCTATTTTCTGACCACCGTGGATGGAGTGCCACAGCTTTTGGCAATGGTTCTTACCTTTTACTGCAGCCTTGCACCTCTTTGGTTCTCAATCGTACAAAAAATGTTTCATGTAATTAGTACACAGGTTTGATGAAACAAAGTAGTTATACTTACGTGCCCGTGTTTAATTTGTATTTCGATTATTTACCTTCAAAAAAAGTCTGGCCATGTCTCACACCACCAGGGGCTGCGTGCACCCTAGGTGAAGAGCCACTGGCCTATAGCAACATGCTACAACCCAACAAACCTGTAATATGGATGCTGTGCTTGGTAGTCACCCATCCAGGTACTATCCAGCCTTACGCTTGCTTAGCTTCTAATATTTGATGGGATCAGGTGCACTCTAGGTAATTTGGTAACACATTCCTGCGGAGGGAGCTGGTAGGAACGTTGGGTTGCTCGGTCAATGGCCAGGGTCAACGGCGGCGTGGTGTATTCCGCAAATATGCCGACTGAGGGCGGGCACAAGCCGGCATGAGTAGGTTAAACGTGAGTTTATAAGGGCACCACGGGGTGACCAGCCCCACCCAGCCCCTCCCTCCCCTCCCCACCCAGCCCCTCCCTGCACGACGGACGGACATAAATAATCCCGTGGGCTGGTGGAACCAGGAGGTTCCTACCAGTAACAGGCCATATATACGTTCTATACAATAAAAAAATATATGTAAAAAACACCAGTTTATAAATATTAAATGTCATACAAATGACTGTACACAACTACTATGAGTGGATGGTTTGCCCTATGAACTGGCTTCCACCATAAGAATGGAATTTTCATCACTTTTCAGAGCCACCTCTGCAGATGAGCATTCCCCCACTGCCCATTAAACAGAGGCAGCTGCTTGATTAGGGGATGGCATTGTTTTAGTCGATAATTTCTAAAACTTACCTAATGTATTTTTTTAGGAGTAAATGTGCCACGGCTTTTCAGGGCTTGTTCAAATGAGAGAAGAAGAAAACAAGTAATAACCCGTAAAAACAGTAAAAAAAAGTTATCACTAATCCTTTATATGCGTGTGGCTAGAGTCCTCTTGTCTCGGCTGGTCCTAAAAAGTGTAACATTTTGGAACTTTTTTTCACGAACATTAATTGTCTCGCACAACGAGTCTGTGTGGAAAATGTCAGCTCGATTGGATCACGGAAGTGGGTTAAAAAACGACCAAAGATTTGCACGGTCGTAAGCAAGCAAGTGAACTTAATATAAAGGATTTAAAAAATTAACCCGTAAAAACAAAGTTTTTCACTCTAAATCCTTTATATGCGTGGCGGCTAGAGTCCTCTCGTCCTCTGGCTTGAGATGGCTGCCACCTATGGGTCAGATGATTGTCTGCCAGCATTAAGCAATTGGTAATTAAATATTTTAAAAAAATTCCCTAAACAGTGTCAAATTTTGGAAAAAAAATTTCACGAAAATTAATTGTCACGCACAACGAGTCTGTGTGGAAAATGTCAGCTCAATTGGATCACGGGAAGTGTGTTTAAAAACGACCGAAAGATTTGCACG